AGAAGCATAGGACAGAAAATGGTCACCCCAAATGCCGGGAGAAAAAGTGGCTGAAGGCTTAGGCTGATGAACATCAAAAGTGTCATTTGGGTTTGAAGATTGAGATAGTGGAACTTCCACAGAAGACATATTTCAAAGATTTCAAACCTGAAGCGAACTAGCCAAGTGTTATTACTTTTGTATCAAGTGCTGGTGTGAGTTCAGGAGCTCATAAGCTTTGCTATTTATAGTATCGCTGTCTAGCTACCGCACCCGCTGGAAAAAAAATATATCTACAGTAATTTTACCGGTCGTTCATCGGTTAACCAGTTGATTTGATGAGCAGTTCCTATAATTCTTGGACATCGGTTAACCGAACCAACCCATGGTTACTTTTGTTTGTTTTAATCAGAATCGATGGTGGTGTTTTTATGGCCCCGTTTTGAGTGTCTAATTAATGGATTTCACTTTTAACCAAAAAAAAAAAAAAAGTCAAAGTAGAGATAAGATTCCCCTTTCCTTTCACTGACTCACACTCAACTCTCAGACTGTCGAAACTCTACCGTTATCTTCCCCATCTCTTTAGTAGATTGTCCTTCATCGTTTAACAGATAATAATCAAACTACTTCTGCTTTTGGGTTCAGTTTCATATACTTCTGGAAAAAAATTTACAATGGTACCATTCGTTTCTGCTTTTGGGTTTGATTTCACCTGCGTTTTATTCTTTCATTTGCTTTTGTGATTTTTTTATAGTGGTCCCATTTGTTTCTTCTTTTGGGTTTGATTTCATATGCATTTCTTTTCTTTCATCTGCTTTGATGGTTTTTTTTTGGTTAATTACATTGTACCCTTTTAGGTTTGGGGTCAATTTCAATTCATTACAACGTCTTTAAAACATTCAATTTCATAGATTTACTTATCATTTTATTTCAATTTCATACATCCGTTAGAAAACCTGTTAAGTTAACTGTTAAGTGATAATAACGTGGCAAATATGAGGTCCCATTTGTGATGACGTGACTACCACATTTGTGTCACGTGGCTAAACATTTAATAAAAATTTTAAATTATTAAAATAATTATTATAAAAAAATAAAAATAAAAAAAAAACCCAGAAACCCAAACTTCGTCTTCCCAGCCGAGCACCCTTCCATCCCCTCCACCCCTTCCACAGCCCCACCCCTCCATCCTCTCCACCCGAGCACACCCTTCTCCCATCCCTCATCATCCACCCTTTGCCCACCTCAGCCAGCCTTCTCCAATCCACTCCTCCCTCTTCACCTCCCCGACCCACCTTCTCCCTCTCCTCCCCTCTCTTACCTTCCCTCCCTTCTCTCTCCTCAGATCAACCCTTTCCTCACCCACCCTGCCGTATTTGATTAATCCCTAATAGTTGTTAGTGTTTGGGTAATTAATTAACATTGGGCTGAAAAATATTAAAAGCCCAAGCATGCAAGGGCTTTTTGGATTTGGGTTAGTTGAAGCACAGACCCAAGATAGAATTAAATATTATTTCTTGGCAGCTAATAGCCAGCAAGCCTATGATTGAAGTGATAAGGGACAAATGGCAGCGCACCTTCAGTTAATATTATAAAGGGAATTTTAACGAAAAGTTTCCGGTACTGTTCATTTTAACGAAAAACCACATTTTTACACTAAAAAAAGTCAATCCTCGTACTAATAATTGTACATAACCTCCCTTATCAAGCTTCCGGTACTGTTCATTAATAATTGTACATAACCTCCCTTATCAAACTCATTCTGACAATCCTCATCACTGACTTTTGGATACCTTCTTTGAAATGAAGTTTCATGCTTCAACAAATTTCTTAATGTGTCAGGTGGTATCACCAATTATTTTAACGGTTCGAGTTTGAATTTGAATTGTATTAATTATTAGCTTAACCTGTGAACGCAATATAAACCATTAAATTCAGAATAAACACAAATACAAAAAATATGAATCGTATCTCAAGAAACATGTGATATCAGCATTGACATCATCCTTTTTCCACACATCATCTTTCAATCATATCAACCTTTTTCCACACATCATCTTTCAATCTACTTTATATAAGCCTATGGCATAAAGCTACGTCTTTCATTTTTTGTGTGTAATTTGTGTCTTATAAGGACCGACTCCTGGTGCTCTTGGGAAACTTAAAAGGGATTGAAGACGGAGACCAATCAACTCAACGTTGTTAACGAGTGGCTCAGAGAATTCGCGATTGGAGACGATGGACGGATTGGAGATTCTGCCTCAACGTTATCGTCTTTGTCGGGCATGGGCGCCCCCGCGTAGGAAGAGCGGAGACAAAAACAACGGATTGAAACTTATACCTGTGGGCCTTCGGCGACTTTCAACTTTTTTGTGTGTAACTCGTGTCTTTTTAGGATCCGACTCCGGCAGCCTATTATGTACCTGTTGGCAGGTACTATCAGCTATCAATGTCAGAGTACTGTATTATTTAATAATTTCTTCTCCGAATACTAGAGCAAGGACGAAGATCACGGAACCATAGAAGAGAAAATGGTGTACAAGAAAAAATGCAAGAGAAAGGAAGAGAGCGAGGTCGAGGTTTGCAACGTGCGGGTGAGGAAAGGAAGAAGTTGCAACGTGTGGGTGAGGAATTGGTTTGACACTTTATTATTTTCTTTATTAAAACTAGAAGAAAACTTTGAAATATCATATGAACTTGTACATATTTTTCAATTTGTCATATAAACTAAAATTTTAAGCAATTTGTTGTACTAACTTTCTAAAATTATCAATTTGTCATCTCACCTAACTCCGTTAAGTTTTCCATAAAAAAAAAAAAAAAAAAGTCATGTGCAAGGCACATGACTTGTATTCAAGGTTATTTTTGTCATTTAAGATCTTTTTACAAGTTATTTATTTTTTTTTAGTAAAACTCTTAAATTTTGGGTTCGAGAGTATTCATGCGGATCGTTGTGTTCTAGTATATGCATCTACATTTTCATTTCTAGCACCAAACCTCAACTCGTTTCTTATATTACAGAGCCCATATAAAATTTGATTTCATGACATGCTAAACTGAACACTTTAGAATTGTTTTAATCGAATGCGACATAATAGAAGGAAGTGAGATGTTAAAATGGTAGAAACAACTCTGAATACAAGTCATGTGCAAGGCATATGACTTATTTTGGATGGAAAACTTAACAGAGTTAGGGTGAGATGACAAATTGATGATTCCGGAAAGTTGATATGACAAATTGTTTAAACTTTTAGTTTATATAACAAGTTAAAAAATGTGTATAAGTTCATATGACATTTTCAAAAAAAAATCCCTTAAAACTAAAAAAGTAAAAGAGATTTAACGAGGTTAAAATTATGTTAATTCCTACGTAAATCCATAGCATGGGTGGCTGATAGTTAGGTGCCAACGCAAGTCCTTCCGACTCGAGGTTGTGGATTTGCTCTGGCGCTAGTGCCCGATGATGAAAGTAACCAATCTCCAAAAATTAACAAAAAAAATTTTAGTCAATAAAGAAAGAAAATTTAGAACAATAATCCAACCCGTCATTTGCTTCAATTTGAATTTTGAATTCGAACAACTAGAGCTGGGCACAGTCTAATTCGGTCCGGTCCATTTTTTAATCCAAAATCGAAGAACAACAATTTAGTTAGGTTTAGTTCAATTATACTTAAATCTATTAATGAAACCAAGCAGTGCGGTTTCGATTTAGTTTGACCGGTTATTCATTGTAAACCGAATTATATATAAGCTTTTTTATTAGCACTCTACATTAAAATTTAATATTAGATGACTATATACCCTACATTCAATCCAAACGTAGAAGATGTATATCACTGATGCATTTAAAGAGCATTGTTATGCATCATTGGTGCAACACAGTATGTTACACAGCGTATAATTTGCCTTTTTGATTAATTGAAAACGGGACGAAAAACGGAAGTGCAGAAGGAAGAAGGAGAAAAAAGGCAGGGCCAGGCGGGGTTGGGTGGGGTATGAGGATATTGAGGGAAAGTGTGGCTATATTATGATAAATTTTAATTGTAAAAGCAATTGTGTGATATACCGTGTACTTACTTAACAATACGTAAGATGTTAATATAAAAACCTTTTATATATGCTAACCTTTATGCACGGCTTATAAAGTTTTTTTTCTTTTTTATATTTTGTCACGCATAAAGATATTCTTATAATTATTTTTAATTTGTAACCTACATTATGAAAGGTATCAAATTAACAAACCAAGAAATCAAGAATGTCTTTATGCGTGAAGTCAAACATTAACTGGAGATACAGAAGCATATCAAATTAATTTATATAGGTCACAAATGCTATTCATTATGTAAAGTTAAATTATTGCCCCTATCATTTGTGTCCATTCTTCATTTGTTGAAATCAACCTTAAATTTTCTTCGTATTCCTACATAAACCCCAAAAAAAAAAAAAAAAAAAAAAAAAAAAAAAAACACAATAATATTTTTGAGAAAAGAAAAGATAACATGAGGAAACAATATATGCAATAACAGTAACTAGCATATTAATATCAGTGCAGGGAAAATTGTTTGTTCAAAAAAAATATATGAACCATATTATTACTGGTCCATTATGAAGCTAATCTCACCCCTCCCCTATAACTTAGATAATATTGTTGGTTCAAAATAAAATATGACTTTGAAATAGATAGAGGATGATGTTAACCATACACTTCTTTTTATCTTTTACAAACCCTCTCAATTTTTGACCGTCGGATCAAATGAATTGATGAGAATTAAGGAATAGAAGTTAATGGAAGGTAACATCCATTAGATTATGTCTACAACTACATATATAATGCATTTATCGTTTTACACTAGAAAATTTTGTCCGCATGTTGCTGCGGGATTAGAAATTATGTGAAATTTTTTATGTTTAAAGATATAAACACATCAACTTATATCACATCAATTAAATTATTGCAACAACATATTGACACACTTAATATGAAAAATCCATAAACTATTCGACAAGATGAAATCCAGCAATCTGTAAAGATGAGAAATGAACGTAGAAATCCTACCTCATTACATATTAAAACAATTAACAAATTCTTAAGAAATGATCACAAAAGTGGTATAAAAAAGTAAATTTCTTAATTTAAAAAATGAGAGATATAAAGAAAATATTGTAGGTTCTTAGTCCTCACCGTAACAAAAAATAGTGAAATCGTTTTGACATTAACTTGGATTGATTTCGGTCACCAGCATTAATAAAACCAGTGACTTCAACCTGTGCCAACAAACGACCAAATTAGATGCAAGCCAACCAACTTCGAATTTAACCAAATAAAAAAAATTACAATTAAATTAACCTCTTCTTCCCATATGAAGTAGTAGTTGTTCCCTGTTTTGCCTTCGTGAACAGTACATTCTTCACTCTCCACACAAAAAATGCATATTCAAAATGCTCAGCAACATTATGAAAACTATACATATACAGTATTGTATATGTATTTGGACATAAGGTATAAAAATTTACTAAAATAATCAAGCTTAAATTTAACAAACGAAGTAATTGCGAATTGGAATAAAAAATGAATTATACCTGCCAAAAGCGTTAATAAATTATACCTGCCAAAAGGTCTAATAAATTATACCTTTTTTTAAGAGCTTGTATCCTTTTATCTGTATCTTGAGCTGGACCCGCTGATCCACAACCAAAAAGGGTGTAAATACACCAACAAAACAACTTTTTAACAGCAAGACTAGAATATGATTTACTGTATTTTAACATCTCACATGCAACATGAAAATCATACACATCTTTTATATGATTTAACTACAACCACTTACTATTTCTTAATTTTGAATCCACCTACTCTAGAAGTTAAACAAAAAATCAACACAATTAAACCCACATTCCAATTCAACCAAAATTCAACAAATTCACCCCAAATTAGATCAACAGAAAGAGAAACATGGGAAAACCCAAATGCAAAAGGAGGGAGGAATGGAGAGAGAGAGAGAGAGAGAGAGAGAGAGAGAGAATGAGCTTCTGTTCTGAATTTTTGAATGATTACTCAATCTAATCAGACGTTAAGACTATAGTAGTGATTAGTGCGGGAAAAACTTTTCCTATGAGTGGATTATAAATTTCTTACAAGACCTGATTATCAGTTAACCCCAAACTAAGTGAGATAACGTACAGATAGAAAGACACATCACTGACATTAACTTATTTTTGTTTATTGATGAATATAAACTGAATTTTTCAGTGAAACAATTTGATTGAGAAAAATAATAAAATAAAATAATTAAGTAACAACACTTAAAGCCCGATCAACATTCAAGTAAAGGTTTGGAGAAGAAGCGATGAGCGAAATGATTTTTTGAATAAGAGAGTGGAATTAAGTAGAAGAGTCGAGAAACAGAAGGTGAAGCGATGAGAGAAGCGTGGCCAGCAAGGGTAAATCCGCCATTTCGCTGTATAGAAACGGAAAAAATAGAATGCCAAAGAGCAATTGGAGGGCAATTTCGGCACTTTACTGTTAATGAACTAGGAAATGGTGCCTGCGCGTTGCTACGAGATAAGAAAGTTCGTAGGTAATAATAATTAAAAAAATTATTAAAAATATATTGAGCATAATTTGTAAGTTGTTCAGTTTTGGCTAATGTTATATTAATTTATACAGACAATGTATTGAGAAATAAAGAGTAAGTGAAATTGGATACATACGTGGAATGAGAATTTGAATAACGTCTAAGAAAAGATAAGTTTGTTGCAATTTAGTACAACAAATATGGAAATTGGTGTCTTATGCAATAAAATATATATAGTGATAGCGTTATATAAGAGTTACAAAAGTGTTGCAAATCATGCTATGATTAAATAGCAGTTTATTTGCCAATTTTATCATTTTTAAAACAAAATGGCGCTCTAAGACGGATCAGATTTATGTAAATTGGTAAACTTAGTTTTGATTATCTAGAGTAAGAATAATCATTTCCGTCTTTTCTCTTCAAAGGAATTAACTATTATCAATTTATATAGATACTTTCTTCTTCTAACTTATTGTGAATACATGGCTTATTATTTGTTTGTCTAGTGAAAGATTTAAGGCCAATATTCAAAAGTATAAACAGACATCCTTCCACTAAAGATAAATCCTGCCCATATTTTGTAAATCTGTGAAAGAACATATTAGATTAAAATATGTGTAGAGGGTATATCTCTAGTGCAAATGTCTGCTTTTATACTTTTATCTCTAGTGAAAAGAAGCTAGTTTATATATATATATAAGTAATAGCTAATTCGTCTAAAGAGAAAGCCTAGTAAAAATTGTAATTAAATGTAGAATGTCAATAAAACAAAGTATTAATTAATTTTACATACCTTTGAATATTTGTGTCTTCATTGCTTGAAAATGTATTTGTCAACGTTGTAAATCCCTTGCTGAATTAGGTTCTTCTTTTTTTTTTTTTTTTTGCCCTAAAATTGTAAAATAAAGTGTTAAAAAAAGGTTGTATGGCAGCTAATAAATAATATATAATAATTAGTTTAGATGGATGGAAAAATGGAGTCATACGTAGGATGAAAGAGCAAAAACTAAATTTGAATATAAGAAATAAAAAAACAATTTGTAATTCATTATCATGCATTGTTATCTATTTTATGCTAACCTCAACGAAGGTGAGAAGGGAGAGATTGCTGCAGGCCATGGCGACCCGGTTGGACAGCGATGGCGGGCTTGGGCTGGGCCTTCTAGGCCTGGGAATGGTGGCGGGAGGTGAGGTAAATGGAGAGCAGGAAGACGGTGAAATTTAAAAGGGATTGAAGGTGAACAATCAACTAACTTTTCTTCCAGCTCCGGTGAGAAATTTTTCAGTGTGATCGGTACATAGAGTGATATACCACGTGTCACTATACAAATAGTGGGATATGTGTGCTAAAAAGTTAATAACTTAAAGAATAAAATTTTCCACCACTTCAATTAAAACACGTGGTATATCACTTATGTTTCCGTTACAATGAAAAGTTTCTCCATTATATCACTCAACCTCTCCTGACATTGACTACGAGTGGCTCAGCGTGGCCAAAACATTTTCTGAGACATGTGGACGCAGAGAAAATGTCGGTGATTCAGTCCGAATAACTTTCCAAACCGAAATGTTTGGTTTTACTTAAATTTCTTAATGAAACTGAGCAGTACGGTTCCTGCGGTTCCAATTCGATTTGACAGGTTATCGATTGTAAACCGAATTATATATATTTTTTTTCGAATCCTACTTCAACATTCAACCTGTATGTTTCCACTGACAAATTCATAGCCAAACTATTAGAAATCTATGAAATAGACTTGGCAATATTGCAAACAACACGGTAATAACATAAAACTATACAATATCAAAAATTAAATATTTGAGTTGAGCATTAATGGGTTCGGGTTGAAACGAGTAGACTCGTTAGTGACATGTTAATTAACTGATTGATTTAGTGTCAACCACAGGTATCAGTTTCAACCAGAGACTGGCTTTTTTAATAATTGTACATTCCTCCCTTATCAAACTCATTATGTCAATCCTCATCAGTGACTTTTGGATACCTTCTTTGAAATGAAGTTTCATGCTTCAACAAATTTCTTAATGTGTCAAGTCGTATCACCAATTATTTTAACAGTTCAAGTTTAAATTTGAATTGTATTAATTGTTAGCTTAATGGATGGACGCAATATAAACTATTAAAATAAGGAATAAACACAAATACAAAAAATATGAGTCGTATCTCAAGAAACATGTGATATCATATCAACCGTTTTCCATACATCATCTGTCAATCTACTTATATGGGCCTGTGGGATAAAGCTACGTCTTTCATTTTTTGCGTGTAATTCGTGTCTAACGAGGACCGATTCCTGGTGCTCTTGGGAAATTTAAAAGGGATTGAAGAAGGAGACCAATCAACTTAACGTTGTTTACTAGTGGCTCAGAGAATTCGCGAATGCAGACGATGGACGGTTTGAAGATTCTGCCACGCATGGGGCGTCCGCGTACGAAGAGCTAAGAAAACGATGGGTTGAAACTTGTACCCGTGGGCCTAAGGCGTAAAGCTACGTCTTTCATTTTTTTGTGTGTAATTTGTGTCTTTTTAGGATCCGACTCCTGCCGCGTGTTATGTACCTGTTGGCAGGTACTAGGAATGGCAATGGTTCGATTTGAGGACGGAAATACTATATTCATCCTTATAATCATGAAAATTAACCATATCCATAACCGCAAATTAATCATCGAGGATTATTCATAACCATATCCATCGGATAATGGATTTTCAATCGGTTATCGATTATATCCATCTTCGTAAAAAAATTAAAAAAATTATATTCATCCAATTGATGCGCTATAAATTTTTGTGGATACTAATTCCATCGTCGTCGGACGGTTTGAAGATTCTGCCACGCATGATGCTAGCCTCAACGATTTTGCCACGCATGATGCTAGCCTCAACGTTGTCATCGGACGGTTTGAAGATTTTGCCACGCATGATGCTAGACGTTGTCGTCGGACGGTTTGAAGATTCTGCCATGCATGATGTTAGCCTCAACGTTGTCGTCGGACGGTTTGAAGATTCTGCCACGCATGATGCTAGCCTCACCGTTGTCATCTTTGTCGGGCATGGGGCCTCCGCGTACGAAGAGCGAGTAAGAAAACGATGGCTTGAAACTTATGGATTTGGATCCTCTCCGGATCCTCTTCTTGGGGATTCCAGGAATCAGGACACAAGGACCGTTCATCAAAAATAGTACGGCTATAATTAAATGTTTTTTTACGCAAAACGAGATTGCTTTACTTTTAAAAATATAAAAAGCATTTAATTGTGATTGCACGATCTTTGATGAACGGTCATTGTGTCTTGATCTCCGGGATCCTCACGGAGGGGATCCAAATCCGAAACTTATACATGTGGACCTAAAGCGTAAAGCTACGTCTTTCATTTTTTTGTGTGTAACTTGTGTCTTTTTAGGATCTGACTTTTGCCGCGTGTTATGTACTTGTTGGCAGGTACCATCAGCTATCAACGTCAGAGTACTGGATTATTTAATAATTTCTCCTCCGAATAATAGAGCAAGGACGAAGATGACGGAACCGTAGAAAGAAAAAATGTAAGAGAAAGGAAGAGAGAGGTCGAGGCTTGCAACGTGCGGGTGAGGAAAGGAGGAAGTTGCAACGTGTGGGTGAGGAGTTGGTTTGACATTTTATTATTTTCTTTATTAAAACTAGAAGAAAATTTTGAAATGTCATATGAACTTGTACATATTTTTCAATTTATCATATAAATTAAAATTTTAAGCAATTTATCATACCAACTTTCTGAAATCATCAATTTGTCATCTCACCTAACTCCGTTAAGTTTTCTAAAAAATAAGTTATGTGCGAGGCACATGACTTGTATTCAAGGTTATTTCTGTCATTTGAGATCTTTTTACAAGTTCTTTATTTTTCTTTAGCAAAACTCTTAAATTTTGGATTCGAGGGTATTCATGCGGATCGTTGTGTTTGAGTATATGCATCTACATTTCCATTTCTAGCACCAAACATCAACTCGTTTCTTATATTACAAAGCCCATATAAAATTTGATTTCATGATATGCTAAACTGAACAATTTAGAATTGTTTTAATCGAATGCAACATAATAGAAGGAAGTGAGATGTTAAAATGGTAGAAATAACTCTAAATACAAGTCATGTGCGAGGCATATGACTTATTTTGGATGGAAAACTTAACAGAGTTAGGGTGAGATGACAAATTGATGATTTCGGAAAGTTGGTATGACAAATTACTTAAACTTTTAGTTTATATGATAAATTAAAAAATAGGTACAAGTTCATATGACATTTTCAAAAAATTTCCCTTAAAACTAAAAAAGTAAGAGATTTAACGAAGTTAAACTTATGTTAATTCCTACGTAAATTCATAGCGTGGGTAACTGACAGTTAGGTGCCAATGCAAGTCCTTCTGGCTCGAGGTTGTAGGTTTGCTCTGGCGCTGGTGTCCGATGATGAAAGCAACCAATCACCAAAAATTAACAAAAACAACTTCAGTCAATAAAGAAAGAAAATTTAGAACAATAATCCAACCCATCATTTGCTTCAATTTGAATTTTGAATTCGAACAACTAGAGGTGGGCACGGTCTAATTCAATCTGGTCCATTTTTTAATCCAAAATCGAAGAACACCAGTTCAGTTAACTTTAATTCAGATTTACTTAAATCTATTAATGAAACCGAGCAATGCAGTTTCGGTTTAGTTTGACTGGTTATTCATTGTAAACCGAATTATATATAAGCTTTTTTATTAACATTTTACATTAAAATTTAATATTAGATAACTTATATACCCTACAACCAAGCCAAATGTAGAAGATGTATAACACTGATGCATGTAAAGAGCATTGTTATGTATCATTGGTGCAACACAGTATGTTACACAGCGTATAATTTGCCTTTTTGATTAATTGAAAACGGGACGAAAAACGGAAGTGCAGAAGGAAGGAGGAGAAAAAAGACAGGGCCAGGCGGGGTTGGGTGGGGTGTGAGGATATTGAGGGAAAGTGTGTGGCTATATTATGATAAATTTTAACTGTAAAAGCAATTGTGTGATATACCGTATACTCAACAATATGTAGGATGTTAATATAAAAAGCTTTTACATATACTAATTTTTGTGCACGGCTTATGAAGTTCTTTTTTCATTTTTACATTTGGTCACGCATTAAGACATGCTTATAATTATTTTTAATTTTTAACCTACATTATGAAAGGTATCAAATTAACAAACCAAGAAATCAAGAATGTCTTTATGCGTGAAGTCGAACATTAACCGGAGATACAGAAGCAAATCAAATTAATTTATATAGGTCACAATGCTATTCATTATATAAATTTAAATTATTCCCCCTATCATTTGTGTCCATTCTTGATTTGTTGAAATCCATCTTAAATTTTCTTTGTATTCCTACATAAACCCCAAAAAAAAAAAAAAAAAAAAAAAAAAAAAAAAAGAACACAATAATTTTTTTGAGAAAAGAAAAGATAACATGAGGAAACAAGATATACAATAACAGTAATTTGCATATTAATATCAGTGCAGAGAATATTGTTGGTTCAAAAAAAAAAAAAAAAGATTCATATTATTACTGGCCTATTATGAGGCTAATCTCACTCCTCCCCTTTAACGTAGATAATATTGTTTGTTCAAAATAAAATATGACTTTGAAATAGAAATAGGGTGATGTTAACCATACACCTCTTTTATCTTTTACAAACTCTCAATTTTTGACCAGTGATATCAAATGAATTGATGAGGATTAAGGGATAAAAGTTAATGGAAGGTAACATCCATTTAGATTATGTCTACAACTACATATATAACGCAGTTATCGCTTTACACTAGAAAATTTTGTTCGCGTGTTGCTGTGAGATTAGAAATTATGTGAAATTTTTTATGTTTAAAGGTATAAACACATCAACTTATATCACATCAATTGAATTACTGCAACAACATATTGACACACTTAATATGAAAAATCTATAAACCATTCGACAACATGAAATTCAGCAATCTGTAAAGATGAGAAATGAACATAGAAATCCTACCTCATACATATTAAAACAATTAACAAATTCTAAGTAAATGATCACAAAAGAGGTATAAAAAAGTAAATTTCTTAATTTAAAAAATGAGAGATATAAAGAAAATGTTGTAAGTTCTTAGTCCTCACTGTAACAAAACTAGTGAAATCGTTTTAACATTAACTTGGATTGATTTCGGTCACCAGCATTAATAAAACCAGTGACTTCAACCTGTGCCAACAAACGACAAAATTAGATGCAAGCCAACCAACTTCGAATTTAACCAAATAAAAAAAAAATTACGATTAAACTAACCTCTTCTTCCCATATGAAGTAGTAGTTGTTCACTGTTTTGCCTTTGTGAACAGTACATTCTTCTATAGTCATACCGAAGCCAAGAAAAGGGGTACATATTCCTAACCTGCCAAACAACTTCTAAAGTCATACCGAAGCAAGGAAAGGGGTACATATTCCTAACCTGCCAAAAGGGCTAATAAATTATACCTTTTTTTACGAGCTTGTATCCTTTTATCTATATCTTGAGCTGGACTTGCTGATCCACAACAAAAAAGGGTGTAAATACACCAACAAAACAACTTTTAAAATTACTGTATTTTAACATCTCACATGCAACATGAAAATCGTACACATCTTTTATATGATTAACTACAACCACTTACTATTTCTTAATTTTGAATCCACTAACTCTAGAAGTTAAACAAAAAATCAACACAATTAAACCCACATTCCAATTCAACCAAAATTCAACAAATTCACCCCAAATTAGATCAACAGAAAGAGAAACATGGGAAAACCCAAATGCAATAGGAGGGGGGAGGGAGGGAGGGGGAGGGAGGGAGGGAGGGAGGAGAGAGAGAGAGAGAGAGAGAGAGAATGAGCTTCTGTTATGAAATTTTGAATGATTACCCAATCTAATCAGATGTTAAAACTATAGTAGTGATTAGTGCGGGAAAAACTTTTCCTATAAGTGGATTATAAATTTCTTATAAGTCCTAATTATCAGTTAACCCCAAACTAAGTGAGATAACGTACAGATAGAAAGACACATCACTGACATTAACTTATTTTTGTTTATTGATGAATATAAACCGAATTTTTCAGTGAAACAATTTGATTGAGAAAAATAATAAAATAAAATAATTAAGTAACAATACTTAAAGCCCGATCAACATTCAAGTAAAAAGTGAGAGAAAGACCAAGAGTCCAACCTTAAAAGTTCGCATGAAATTCTGTAACTTCGTACAGTACCTTCGTAATTGTATCACCCATAAAACTACTGAAATAAAACCAACAAATGTGAAGTCAAAATATATATACAATCTGATATTCTTGCTCAAGACTGTAGAAGATATAAGCCTACTGTGAAACTAAAAAATTGAAATCTACAAACATCAAGGTGCAATTGTATGCCATTACAAAACCAAAATTCAAAGTTGAAAGCATTTATAAAAGACATATACAAAATACTACAATTTAAAAAGAAAAAATGGTAAGAGTTAAAAAAAAGAGGAGCATGCGTACGGAGGAGAGGAGCAATGAGCATGGACAATCTTCGCCACATTTCAATGAACTGGAAAGTGATATCATAGACGGTAATTCCATAAGTATTTTAATCGTAAGATTTTAATTGATTTCAAGTAGTATACATCCAAGAGCTTACTAGATTCTGAGTTATATACTGAGCTCTATTGAGTCCTCTTGCCATCCAAGAATGTGAGTTCATTGGTGAAACCACATGGATCATTCCACAGATAAATGCTAAAGGAAATAGCCTTATAATCAAGTAGTAAGTGGTTTAAGTCTATTCTAATATATAAATGTGAAAAAGATAGATTGATAGACAGATAAAAAGCAAGTTATGAAGACTGAGAGAGTAGAGAGGAACTGAAATAGACCTTAGCAATAGTAGTACTGCAGTCTGTAGAGGGTGCCCAGTTCTTGGTCTCTCCAACTTCAAACCTTGTCCCACATCAAACCAATGAGATCATTGTCAACAGAAAGTACAATCCGAATGTTGGACACAAACTACTCAAACTCGAGCAGCTATGACCAAATGATGATAATTGTATGAGAAAAAAAAAAAAATCCCAATAACAAGAAGAAGCAACACTTCACATACAATTTGAATTGAAAACTATATTCAAAATTCCCCTCCTTATTTTATGACATAAAATGAGATACACTGCTATTAGAAACAAGACTTCACATTTGCTATTATAAACCCACCATAAGATACACTGCTATTACAAGGAACACTTCACACAGAGTGCATAACAAAAAATAAGATCATAAATACTTATGATAAGGAAAACTCAAATGAGGAGGGGAATTATAAACTGCAGAATACAGAGTGCACAACCTATTTGAAATCTCCATCACTCATTTGAACAAAAATAATGAAATTGTAAGCGAGTATGTATTGAAAGAAGAAGGAAGTGAATGAGAAAGGGATGAGTTTAAGAAAAATTGATAAGATTTGGAATCACAAAAGATATATGGAAGTAGTACTCTACAAAAAGCTTATGATAATTAATTAATTGGAATATTTTAGAGCTGTGATTTGCTACATGGGAAAGGGATGAGTTTAAGAAAAGTTGATTAGATTTGGAATCACAAACACTTCGGAGGGATTTTATGATAGTTCTCTTAAAACCAAAAGACAGTATTAGGGTTTCTTAGTTTCTTACCCAAATCCACCAATTTGAATCAAATCTCTGTAGCCGAGCTTCAAATCCTTCTCAAATCGCCTCCACGAACATGATTTATGGAAGATTGGAAACGCATAGAGAGGCAGGCCCTGTATTTTTTGTACCTTGAAACGCAATCCATCTTGTCCTATTGACCCTTCACACACTTCTCCGAGTAACCTGCTGAGAGAAACAATACCCATTATACATTTTTTTAGATGGATTTTAGAGAGAGGAAAAAGATTAGCATTTAAGGACACATGAAAACTAATTTTATGCTGAGATTTGCATAGGAGAAGCGAAAGAAGAAGATAGAGAAATTTAGAAGTTGTAGTCGAAGTAGAGGTTTGGAGAAGTTCGAGTGCGACGGAAGCAGAGATTTGAGAGAGAGATAAGTGAACACAAAAGGAAAAATTTAGAAGTTGTAGTCGAAGTAGAGGTTTGGAGAAGCGATGAGCGATCTGATTTTTTGAATGAGAGAGTGGAATGAAGTAGAAGAGTCGAGAAACAGAAGGTGAAGCGATGAGAGACGCGTGGCCAGCAAGGGTAAATCCGCCACTTCGCTGTATAGAAACGGAAAAAATAGAATGCCAAAGAGCAATTGGAGGGCAATTTCGGCACTTTACTGTTAATGAACAGTAACCGAGTGTTTGGGTTTTAGCGTATATAAACTAGGAAATGGTGCCCGCGCGTTGCTGCGAGATAAGAAAGTTCGTAGGTAATAACAATTAAAAAAATTATTAAAAATAGATTGAGCATAATTTGTAAGTTGTTCAGTTTTGGCTAATGTTATATTAATTTATACAGACAAATGTATTGAGAAATAAAGAGTAAGTGAAATTGGAAACATACGTGGAATGAGAATTTGAATAACGTCTAAGAAAAGATAAGTTTGTTGTAATTTAGTACAACAAAGATGGAAATTGGTGTCTTATGCAATAAAATATATTTAGTGATAGCGTTATATAAGAGTTACAAAAGTGTTGCAAATCATGCTATGATTACATAGCAGTTTATTTGCCAATTTTATAATTTTTAAAACAAAATTAAATGGCGCTCTAAGACGGATTAGATTTATATAAATTGGTAAACTTAGTTTTGATTATCTGGAGTAAGAATAATCATTTCTGTCTTTTCTCTTCAGAGGAATTAACTATTATCAATTTATATAGATACTTTCTTCTTCTAACTTATTGTGAATACATGGCTTATTATTTGTTTGTTTAGTGAAAGATTTAAGGCCAATATTCAAAAGTATAAACAGACATCCTTCCACTAAAGATAAATCCTGCCCATGTTTTGTAAATCTGTGAAAGAACATATTAGATTAAAATATGTGGAGAGGGTATATCTCTAGTGCAAATGTCTACTTTTATACTTTTATCTCTAGTGAAAAGAAGCTAGTTTATATATATATATATATATATATATATATATATTAGTAATAGCTAATTCGCCAATAAAACAAAGTTTAGTAAAAATTGTACTTAAACGTAGAACGTCAATAAAACAAAGTTAACAAAGTATTAATTAATTTTACATACCTTTGAATATTTTTATCTTCATTGCTTGAAAATGTATCTGTCAACGTTGTAAATCCCTTGCTGAATTAGCTCCTTTTTTTTTTCCCTAAAATTGTAAAATAAAGTGCTCAAAAAAGGTTGTATGGCAGTTAATAAATAATATATAATAATTAGTTGAGATGGATGGAAAAATGGAGTCATACGTAGGATGAAAGAGCAAAAACTAAATTTGAATATAAGAAATAAAAAATAATTTGTAATTCATTATCATGCATTGTTATCTATTTTATGCTAAACATAAAAGATAAAGTCTATTAGTAAGAGTGAAGCTAAAGAATTGAGAAACTGAGATTAAGAGCAATTCTGATGACGGAATTGAGAATTAATAGGTATATAATTAAAAAGTTATCTTATTGCTAAGTTTGAATTTGACTAATGATAGGTATATACAATGAAATTTTTTTGCCACCAATTGAAATCTGTACAGGAAGCATGTAGTCAAGTGGGAAGCAATGTTAATTTGAAACGAAAAAAGGAATTCAAATAAAGATGAAATGCCAATTAAAACTTAAATCGAAAAAGGATGAAATAATGCCTCAAAAAATTATAAATGTTTCTCTAAAACTTAATTGAGAAGATAAAAACAGTGACCCACTTTTTGTTAACTAACATCTCTGCAACAGTTTTAGCATAAAAAAATTTGCCTTGCTGGCTAAATTTTTCAGCTAATCAAATTGCTAAGCAGCATATATATAGCCAATAAATAAGATAAATTAGATATTTCATGTATACTTAATATATTAGAGTACAAAACTTAGACCAAATGTGCAACCTTTAGGCACTTAATCACATCAGGACATTATTTTAACAAAAACAGAAAAATATTGCATGAATTTTTTTTTTCTGCAAAAAAAAAAAGGAACCAGGGAAAAGCAAAAGCATTTCTGTGACATCCCACATCGCCCAGGGGTGATCCTTAAATGTATATTCCCATCCCTACCTAGCACGAGGCCTTTTGGGAGCTCACTGGCTTCGGGTTCCATAGGAACTCCGAAGTTAAGCGAGTAGCGCGCGAGAGCACTCCCAGGATGGGTGACCCATCGGGAAATTCTCGTGTGAGTTCCCAGAAACAAAACCATGAGGGCGTGGTCGGGGCCCAAAGCGGACAATATCGTGCTACGGTGGTGGATCGGGCCCGGGTTGTGGTGGGGGCCCGGGCCGGGATGTGACAATTTGGTATCAGAGCCTAACCCTGGTCGCGTGTGTGCCGACGAGGACGTCGAGCCCCTAAGGGGGGTGGATTGTGACATCCCACATCGCCCAGGGGTGATCCTTAAATGTATATTCTCATCCCTACCTAGCACGAGGCCTTTTGGGAGCTCACTGGCTTCGGGTTCCATAGGAACTCTGAAGTTAAGCGAGTAGCACGCGAGAGCACTCCCAGGATGGGTGACCCATCGGGAAGTTCTCGTGTGAGTTCCCAGAAACAAAACCGTGAGGGCGTGGTCGGGGCCCAAAGCGGAAAATATCGTGCTACGGTGGTGGATCGGGCCCGGGTTGTGGTGGGGGCCCGGGCCGGGATGTGACAATTTCCCCCTATACATACTTGCTAAAAGTTACCATAGTAAACCACAACATATAAAAAAATTTACAACACATTGATAAAAAAGACCATGTGTCAATACACTTTAGCTAACCATTTTCTGGGCATAAACAGAACCACCACTGACGAAATAATAATGTTCTGCAAAACTAACATAATACTACAACCGCAAAATAAGAATAAGTCACAAAAATACATGACAATAAGAGAAAGTAGAAAACAAAGAAAATTGAAAGGAAACCAAATAATCTCAACTAATTGAACACCTAATTTCTGTAAATCCAAAACTAATAGCTCCTTATACATAGTTGCCAACATATTACAATAAACCACAGCAATGCATAAAAAGCTTTACAACACATTGTAATTAAAATATAAGGAAAAAAATGTTTAAGTTTTTTCCATTTTAAAATCGAAAAAACAAAACCCACAGGATTTAAATAACCATGTGAATCTTACCCTCAAATGTTTCATAAGCACAAAAACTATCTAAGATGTTGTTCTCCCTTTGCAAATGCAACCTGCAAAACAAATCAAGCAACAAAAAAAATATACGAAAGGGTAAGTAACAAAGCTCAAAAACCCTAGCACAAAAATGTCATAAACAGGATAAAAATGACCAGCAAGTCTAACTACGACAGATAATAGTGTAAATCTTCACACAAAGCAGTGAAGATTTATACCCACCAGATCCTTCTCACAGTCCAAAATCCAAATAACGACTTCAAATCTATAAAATTACAATGAAATTAATACCATAATGTACCAAACAACTGTAAAAAATAAAATGCAGCAAGGGCAAACATGAATTCATCAGGCCAAATAAGCAAAAAGATTCATACCTCAATTGAATTTTGAACTTGATTCTCTCGCTAAAAAATCTTAATCTACAAAACCAAATTAGTTTTATTAATAATAAAGTAACACGATAATGCATCAAAGAACATTGAAAACTAAAATCTAGTAAAGGTAAAGATAAATTCACACAATCTAAATAAGCGTAAGCATTGATACCTGAACTGAATTTGCAGGTTAATTTTGTCGTTTAAAAATTCTGATCTACAAAACCAAATCAGTTTTATTAACACCGATAAGTTAAGAATTGATACTAAAAACAAATATATATTTGAGGCCTTCAAATATATTATAAGCTCAATGAATACAAAGAAAGAATCAGTACCACACTCACAACCTTATATTTTCACCAGTACATATGCATATTGCTCTAGGTTGTTAAATCAGATCTTAAAGACCATGTTCCTAACACAAGATCTAACGACTTCAGATTCATATGAATTATAGCCAAGCCAAACCAAACCATTTAGGTTGTCAATAATGCCCAGATAAGCAGTTTAGCTTGGTTTCTTGAGTATATCAGGTTAGTCAGGTTGCTGAAGGAACAACAACACACCAATTCTCAAACTGCACAACTACTAAATTACAACAGTATTGTATCGATGGTTGAAAATGATCTCTCGAGCATCTAGGTACCCAGGTTTTCAATTAAAAAACTTATTCAATTGAATTCAATAAAAAAATGATCTCTCAGATGAGTTATGAATTAACAGAAAACATGCCAAACGCAGTGGAAGCAGTACGTCGATGTCAGACATGAAACTTAGCTGATTCAACTAAGCGGGCCTGCTAACCAGAATGCTCAGACCTGGATCATATTTAAAAAAAAAAACCCATAAATCATCATGACCTCAGTCAAATATAATCAAGATAAGAACAACATAACAGGCACAGATCACATAATCGAAAAGAAGTTTCGCAACTCATCCACAATAATCAAAAGCTAAATTAAACCCAAAAATTAATCATGATCATCCATTTGTACTGCTGGAAATGTTTAGCCCTTAATTAAAACACCAAAATAAAAAATTTCTCACTCACAGTACAAAACCGAAACATACAAAGCAAAGCCTAAAAATTAATCAACAGTATTCCTCTCTCTCTCTCTCTCTTCTTTTTTTTTTTTTTTTTTTTTTTTTTTTTTTTAAGTTTGAGGGAAAAATCAAAGCACAAACAATCAAAAAACCCAAACAAAAAAAAAAAAAAAAAATAACACCAAAGAGATAAATTGTATACCTGACCCAAAAAAAGCTAGGAAGAACAAAACCCTAAAACTCAAAGAAGAATGTTTCTGCAACCAAAATGCAAAATCAGAGATAACAACCGTACTGTAGGCAATTTCATTAGGTATTGAATTTGTCATTCACAAGTTCGAACATAAAACCTCTTACTTATCTGTAGACATCGAAATTTTGGTGAAACAAATGTTCACCAACGTATTAAAGTTTTGACGTGTCAGTGCATACATGACATGTGACTCAACAAAATAGGAAGAAATACCCTTGGCTGATTAAACAAGTTTTTCTTCTGAATTTGGGCAATGACAAGGTAAACACATTTCAATCCATTACGGATCAAAGCAAGTTTTTCTCATTTGGGCAATGACAAAGCAAGCACATTTCAAGTTTAAAATTGTATTAAGTGGGAAATTAGGCCATAAATAAGACCACTTCAATTTCAATATTGCATTAAGTGGAAAGTTAGGCCATTTGTTAGATCACTTCAATTTCAATATTGTATTAAGTGGGAAATTAGGCCATAAAGAAGACCACTTTAATTTCAATATTGCATTAAGTGGAAAATTAGGATATTTGTTAGACCACTTCAATTTCAATATTGCATTAAGTGGGAAAATTAGGTAATAGTGCTTGGGTGGGAAAATTTTGTGGTGGTGATTCACTCTCAAAGCCTATAAATAGGCTTCTCCATCAAGAGGAAAAAACACCAATTCACAAACACACCAATTCACAAACACACCAATTCACAAATACATTTCTCTACACACCAAAACCTTGAAGCCTTAAAGTTCTAAAGCTCTCAAGAAAATCCCGAAGGATCAAGAAAGCACTCTTCGTTCTTCGTCAAATCCTCTTTCAAGATCAAGCCCCAACAGCCCTTGAAGAACTTCCACCAATTCAAGATCAAGCCCCAACGGCCCTTGAAGAACTCCCACCAATTCAAGATTAAGCCCTGACGGCCCCTTGAAGAAAGTGTTCATCATTCATCATCCGTTCATCCTAAGATCAAGCCCCAATGGCCCTTTGGATCAACAACATCAACAAATCCACACATCCAACCGTTCTTCAAGATCAAGCCCAAAAGCTCTTGAAGATCCGCTCATCCATCAACCTTCAAGATCAAGCCCCGACGGCCCCTTGAAGAAAGTGTTCATCATTCATCATCCGTTCATCCTAAGATCAAGCCCTAACGGCCCTTTGGATCAACAACCTCAACAAACCCATACACCTATTCTTCAAGATCAAGCCCAACGCCCCTTGAAGATCCATTCATCAACTGTTCATCCTTAGATCAAGCCCCGACGGCCCCTTGGATCAACAAACAAATCCACACATCCATTCTTCAAGATCAAGCCCAAAAGCCCTTGAAGAAAACCAACTGTTCATTCAAGATCAAGCCTCGACGGCCCTTGAAGAAAACCAACCGTTCTTCAAGATCAAGCCCAAAAGCCCTTGAAGATCCGCTCATCCATCAACCTTCAAGATCAAGCCCCGAAGGCCCTTGAAGAAACTTCCATCAACCTTCAAGATCAAAGCCACGAAGGCCCTTGAAGAAACTTATAACTGTTCATCCAAGATCAAGCCTCGACGGCCCTTGGATCAACAAATCTACATCTTACGGAGATAGAATCAGAGGATTAAATTACAAAGAGATCGTAACCCCAAAATCATTAAACACACAAATATTATTTTGTACACGTATTCTTGTTTCTTGTTTCAGGAATTTTTCGTGTTCACAAATTTGGCACGCCCAGTGGGACATCTCTACCTCTCATCTCTATCCTCAAATCATTGAAAAACGCAAATGGCATCAAGAAAGGATCAAGTTGTTCCTGCAGTCAAAGCGAAGAACAAGAACATTATCGCCGCAACTGGTGATATTTCGGGCATCACAACCCGAAGTAAAGCAAGAGCTCTTTTTGCCGCGGCTTCCGCCCCTGCATTAACTCTGTCAAAGGAACAAGAGCACCTGAGGCACGAGCCTGTGATCACCCTAGCCTCGCTAAGGGCATCAAGAGGGGAAAGCCCGAGGAAATACTCAGAGTCCCTACTCTTCGACGCTGATTCGAGCGGCAGTACAACCATGCAAGTCATGACCACTAGAGCAACTTCAATCGAGGAGCAGCTGGTTCAGATAAAGGAAACAATTACACGGCTGATAAAGACAGTGGAGGAGAAAAACTTGCAAACCACCAGACTCATCAACAGTCTGGAGGCGCAACATGGCGTCAAAGTGAAACCAAGCTCTCTTCCAACTAAGAAGACTGAAGAAGGCTTTAACCCAAACACCTACGAACTCATGTCAAAGGCCGGGTATGACTTCGCTTCTTCTGAGGCGGCTGGAAAGAAGGTTTCAAACACTGTCAATGACAAAGAATGTAACCTCACCAAAACTCAAAAGAAGTTGAAGGAGCATGGTTACGGAGTTGACAACAACAAAGCCGGACTTGGCTTCACACCAAATGCACCCGTGAAGATTTCAAGCAAAGTGAAGAAAGCTAGCGCTCAACACATCAGCGTGAGCATTGAACAAGACCAAAAAGAGCCTAAACCCGCCCCTCGGACGTCGGTCTTCGATAGGATGAGCCATTCAAGCTCCAGAATTTCAGTGCTTAATCGCATTGGTAGTCAAGACCGAACCTCTGTCTTTAAGAGGCTTAACGCGCCAACATCCCAAAGCTCTGTTTTTGAAAGGTTGTTAAAGCCTAAGAAACAAAGCAACACAGCTATCTCTCCTCTGCGACGATCAGCTTCGGAAAGATTTGAAGATAATGAGAAGCCTTTTGGAAAGAGGAAGACAACACCAAAGGAAGAAAAGTTCGATGGGTTAGCAGAAAAAGGCTACATTCAAAGCTTGATTCCTTCAAGGATGAAGCGCCAAGCAATCCTAGAGGTCGACACAAAAGGACCACTGAAGGTAAGGAGGCGCATCATCGTCCACACTGGCAAATCTTCATGCCAACAAACCCAAGAGGACGGCACTGAAGATGAAATCCCTAAGAAAGATGTCACTTCTGGCTCTTTCGACTCAAAGTCTTCACCTCGACTGTTGGGGGCATACTCCAAGTCAAGTGAAATTGAAGGATGGACTCATGTCACTCCGAAGAAACTGCACGAGAAATATATGTCTTCTCCACAAGTGCACCAATCAGAAAGGAGGGAAAGCAGATTTCGCCAACCTCCGAAGCAATGTGAAAATGTTGAAGATAAGAAAATTTCAACACAAAGATCGTTCATGCGGGATCTTTTCTTCCTCGAAGACTTATCCAATTTCTCGATCAAGGCTTCTTGCTATGAAGATTGTGAGGAATGCTTTTCGAAGATCGCTTCGAAGAAATTGGACAAGCAGCAACCATCTTGTCCATAAGTTTATCAGTTGAAAAGGGGGCAAAACAGCTCTTGTCAACCTCCAGAACAATGTGAAAGTGTTGGAGATAATGAAATTTCGACACAAAGATCGTCCATCCCCATCACAATGTGCGACCTCTTCCCAGAAGACTTCTTCAATTACTCGGTCAAGGCTCCTTCCTATGAAGATTGCGAGGAACGCCTCTCCCAGATCGCTTGACAAATCCACAATAACAACCAAAGCTCCTCGTTCGCACGAGCCTAAAAGGTGACAACCACGCTCCTTGCCTGCACGAGCTGAAACTGCAAACGGCACCAAACGCTCCTTGCTTGCAAGAGCTGAAACTGCAAACGGCACCAAACGCTCCTGGCCCGCAAGAGCATAAACTGTGTACGACAAAATCATCATCAAAATCACCAAAAAAAAAAAAAAAAAAAAAAAAAAGAGGGCAACAGAATTATTGCAAAGAAGAAAATAAGGGAAAGAAGGTGACACGGCACCACTTGCAAAAGTGAAAAAAAAAAAAAAAAGAAAGAAAGGAAATAACACATGAAAAAAAGAAAAAAAAAAGAAAAAAAGAAAAAAAAAAAAAAAGAAAGGAAATAACACATCTTTGTGATATATATGTTTTATCTGTATTTAGCACAATACACTGAATAAAATAAAGCATGTCCATTGATCTCCGAGAAATTACAAGTGTGTACAAAAAAAAAAAAAAAAAAAAAAGATGGAGCTTTCACAAAGGTTGTTCACGTGAAGCCCCACTACTTGGCAAAACTCTAGGAGCGGGAGGCATCGAAGATGGATCATTCGAGGCCTCAATACTTGGTTGAACGCTAGATGACGAAGGAAAAATGTGCCTCTGGAAGAAAGTCGCAAGCCTTTGATGGTCACTTTGAATTTGACCTTTAGATTCTTGCAGCTGATCAAGCTTCCTCTTCATGCTCGTCGAATAATTATTTGCAAGCACGTGTAAACCTCTATTCTCGCGCTTAAGCTGTTTGATCTCTTGTTTAAGATTTTCCACCTCCGCCATTAATGATTCAACTTGACGGGATCGAGCAAGTAGGCGTTGGCCCATGTTGGACACAGAGCCC